CCGTATCTTCGCGCTTAACGAAGCCCCCGATTTAAAATAAATCCACCGTAGAATCGATCTCCTCGTACTCTCCGCACATTCCGAGTAAACCGTCGAGCTCTCACTCCCCGAGATTTAAATAAATCCTATTTACAATAAATCGCATTTCGGTGAGAAATAATAGGCGGAAAAAAAAATTTCAATTTCCGTACAATTTAATCCCGGCTTTTACAATTGCGAATCATTGCGGGACCCTCGATGCGTGCCGAGGAATAAAAAATACGTAGACCCCCCCCCTGAATGACCGGGATGAATTAAAAAAAAAAAAAAACAGGTACGGAAGGTAAGGATAAATAAACCGGGGAAAAATGCAAGATGACCAATCTGCATATCGAGTTCCAAGCAAGGGGGCGAGATCGACCTTGAAACTCGTTTTCGCAAAGAGTGGCTCCACCAGGAGGGGAGGACCGGATCGAGGGGGGCGCCTCCTCGGTATTTACGAATTGCCCGGCAAGGATATACCGTTAATGGACCGCGAGGATCGAGCTGGAAGAGAGATCAAGAGTGATCGAAGATTTTTTTTTTTTTGCCACGGTTTAGGGTTCCGGCAGCGGCTTGTACCACTAAGACCAAGTAACCCACCTACAAGAAGAGGCTCTCGCGAAATGTTCCTGGAGAAATAAGTTTCAGAAAATGTAAAAAAAAAAAAATAGAAAAAAATAATCTCGTAAGGAACCAATAAATCCGGATTTTATTCTCGATACCACGTAATATCTTGATAAATAGGATACGAGATATCATCGATTTCTTGCTTTTCCACGCCTACCGGGAGTAACCCTTTACCTGCGCACCTAACCTCGATTACGCCCGAGAGCACGGTGGTCCTCTTTCGCCCTACAGACTGTCCCCTCCTCGAAAGTCTGGCGTATACGCCATGAATCGCGAGCGAAGAATGCGAGGGGTAAACGGATCCAACATGGTCCCGAAAAAAAGGGGGGTAGGGGATGGGGGTTGAGCACCGCTCGAAGCGGCCAGCTGTGGGTCCCCTAGGGAGGCGCAACAGGGTCGCGCGTAGGTAGGTTAGGTACGGACGCGCGGCCCCGCCCAGAGAGTGTATTAGACAGAGCGGAAGGTCCCATAAGACCGCAATGGATTTTTGCGTATAAGGTCTTCAGCGCTCGTGGGTGGTGATACACATTAAATACCCCCCACCCCATCGCGGTGCCTAATCCAGCGGGAAATTTTACTTTGAAATTTGACGACGCCGGGCACGCCCGGACCCCTCCGTACCAATTGGCGACACCTCCGGATCTACAACTCGAACATCCCGTCATGCCCTACATAGCCTATTTCGCCATTACCGACGGAAACTTCCTGTACTATTTTTTTCCTTTTTTTTCCCCCCACCGAACAGGAAAGACGAGAGAACGACGTCGGGCACGTCTCGTCCAGAAAATAAACAGAAAAAAAAAAAAGGGAAGACGCGAGCGCGTAACGTCCATCCAGACATGACCGGGAGGGTCAGACCCATCCAATCGGGACGTGACCGGCGACCTAAATCACCGCTCTTCCACCTCGTCGTTATCCCCTAAAAATCTCCAATTTTTCTCGGATTTCCTCGGTGCCAAGCTTAAAGTTTCACCGGCTCGTAGAGGAATAAACAACGCGTGGTCGGATGCAGGTCGAAGAATGGCGTCTTGGGTGGGCCCCCGGTGAGACGTCGCCCCTGCGAGACACCTCACCGGCGGTGAGAGAAGCTTGAGAGCGGGACGAGCGAGACGGAGCGAGTCGCCGTAGCATGCGACAGAGAGAGAGGAGAATATCATCCCGGTCGGGGCGGGCGCATAAAGTGCGCCGACATTTTTTACGAGCCCGCCGCCGGCGGGGTGAAACATTCCGCGGGAGTGACGCACACGCGGGGGGAGGGGGGGAAGGGGTAGGGAACGAGTCTAGGGCGTCGCGACGCCCTTAGGCGGCCATTTAACCCGCGGGTGCGAGGTCTCCTCCCTTTCCAAATAATCGACGTCGCCCACGAAGGAGTCCTTCCTCCTCGAGCGCTCGAGAACCACTGGGTCAGATGACCCGCCGACCGGCTGAGAACCGCCGAGGGCTGCGGGCCAATCGGCGCGCGCGCGGCATGCAAATTGCGCGCGCACGCGCGGAGGCCCACCCGCCCCCCTCCTACCCCGCGCCGCAGCCGCCGTCCCGACTCGCCCAAGGTGAGCCGACCCATTTTGCGCGCGGACCTCGAGGAGCGCGGATGCGCGCGGAGGGAGGGAGTGATGGAGGGAGGGAGGAGAGTACCTCCGGTACGTCCGTCAACTCCGACGCTGCACCCGGGAACGTGAACTAGGCAACAAGAAGTGTTCCTAACCCCTCCACCTTCGCCGTACGCATTTTCCAATTTTTTTTTTTTTTTCATTCGCCACATTTTTTCATCATGAACACGTTCAATGAACTATCATATCCTGGGAATAAATATACATGGGCGTAGAGTTTACTTCCGACTAACGACGATTTATCCGAGATCAGATAATAATTCCTTGATTCGAGTTTCACTCTCGGCGTGTAAGGTTATCATTCCCAGGACTTTCCGTATTTCCAGATCGAGGGTTCCTTAGAAGAAAATGAGCCGAAACATCTAAAAGGTACATCCCGTCGAGTTCCATTTCATCGCGTGACCCTCCCGCTCGAAGCTGCACCTCGCGCCAAGTGCACTTGCGAGAGTACCTCTTCTAGACATGCCCCTCGATCGAAGGCAGGGGGGGGGAGGGGGAAAGTCTGCCTTTTAAATTGTCCTACTTGAGCGGATAAAAGTCGGCCCGACGACGCATCGTCGCGGGTCCTATGCGTGGCGGAACGACGTCGCGTGTGCGTGCAATTACACGTACCTAGGACATACACGGGGAGGTCCGGTGGGAGAGACACCGGCTACGCCTTCTTTCCTTCCCATGTCCCCCCCCGTGCGGCGAGAACGCGCGATCCCGGCCGCGTCGGAGGTTTCGGCCCGACGCGGCTAAACCGCCGCTGGTTTACGCAACTCCGCGGAGAGGACGCACTTTGCGTAACGCGGCCGCTCCGCGAACGCCCCGGGTCTCTCGGGTTTCTCAGCCATTGACTACGTACCGCGAGGTAGAGAAATACATGACTGTACAGAGAGAAAGAGAGAGGATGGATAGAAACTCTGTCGGGCTCGCATTAGCGCCTTTTGTTCCGCAGGGGTCGACGACCCCGCCGAGTAGTCCTTCGGGACTCGCGAGGGAACCCATCGAAGATCCCCGTTTTCCGGCGCGGCCGCTCGTTTCATCGCGAAACGTCCCCTACGAAAGTTCCTCGTCCCCTCGTCCCGCGGAACTTTTCTATCTCGAGTTTTCCTCCATCTCGTCCAGGAAGTCCGCTAACCTGGATAATCCCGCCGCCCCCCCCTTTCGGCTAGGACCAGCGCGCGGCTCGCTCTTGCGTCCCAATTTTGACGAAGCAGAGTCGATCTATTAATAGGGCCGCGTCCGAGCGGGCATTACGAGCCCGCGATGTCGCTCGGCCCTCCATTCGAGAACGGAAGCACGTCATCGGCGACACGCGACACGCGACGTGCGACGTGCGACGTGCGACCGCTTGGCCGGTCCGATTTACCGCGCGGCACGATGCGCCCAACCCCTCGCCTGCCCGTCCGAAGGTCGAAGGGCGAAAGGTCTGAAGGTTTACACCGTCCCTCCTTCGTCGTCGTCGGGACGACCGCGTTTTCTCCGCGAGCGGAATGACGCAAGGTCTGCGTCAATCGCGAGGCGCCCACGCTCGACCTCCGACCTACGAGCACTTTCCACCGAGGAGGGAGAAAATTCGGGGGGGGAGGGGAAAACTTTACCGTAAAATGCCTAAATCTAAAATACAATTGAAAAAAAAAAAAGTATCCCAAAAACAGACGTATAAAACATAATTGTGTATATCTCTCGTAAAACAAACGTTTGTAAATGTATACTTTACGAAGCAAAAAAAAAAATATATGTGTAGGTAAAAAAATTAAAAAAAAAAAGAAAAAAGAGAGTGAAGCGAGCGAGGTCACGATCGACGCGCGGTCTTTTTCGAGAGATTCGAGAGAGAGTAAGAGGGAGAGAGAGAGAGAGAGCGAGTTTTCCATGCAAATCGGGGAATTACTCGCCAAGGGCGAGTTGGTGCGCGTGCGTGGACCGAGCGGAGGTCACGCGGAGGAAGTGAGAGAAAGCGAGTTGCGGAGGACGAGAGGAAACTCCGTGGGTATGTTGGAAGAAAAAGAAAAACGAAGGAGAAAGCGAAGGAAAAAAAAATCGAGCGAGTCGCGAGACGTACCGCGGGTGGTCCCCGTAATTTCGCCGATATCGGCCCACCGGGTGGCGGAATAAACGCGCGGCCGATCCGCCCTGAGGCAAGTAACCTCGCCCCGCGGGTAGGTTCGACGGATCGGCGTCTATAAATAAATGAGACGTCGATATATACGCGTACGAGCGACGCCTCGGCCGCGGATTCTAAGTATATCCGGCCACGTGGCTATATTTAATGTCCTTGCGCCGATCCTCACGGATACGTGGTCACCGTCCACGGGCCAAGGTGCGACGTCCACGTCACGGGAGCATCCCCGATGAAAAGTGATACAAAATCTGAATCGAGATACGATCACGCCCCCTGAGAATTTCTCTTTTTCTAGGTAAATAATCAGACGGAACTCCCGCGCGTGGCTTGTCGCGCCATTGTCCCGTCACGAGGGGACCCTCGATAGAAACCAAAAGCTCTCCCTCGAGGCATCATCGCCCCCGAGCTCAGAAATCGAGGAGGAGAGGTCGCGGAATGCCCGCACGCGGCTACTCCGATTACGCTCGCCGTTCATACCGGGTACTCCGTTTCCCGGGACGCCGAGTCGGCAGATATCCAAGTACGATCGGACCCATCCCCATGGGTCCATCCCACCTCCCGGTCGGTATAAAATTCCCCTAGCCTACTAAACGATCCATGGATTAATTCCAAACGCAACGAGATATCGCACTCACCACGTGTACGCCGGAGAGTCCAACGGGCTCGCTCTGCTTCTTATCGGTCTTCTTGGCCTGTCGCTTGGCCTTGCTCTCGAGGAATCGTTGCTTAAGCACCAGAGTGTCCTGGATGTTCTGCTCGCAGAGTCCATTGAAGCTCTGGTCGAACCTGGGTATGCAGTCGGTCTGCCTCCTGCGGTAGCTCTCGATGCGCCGCCTAAGCCGGTCGACGACGGCCTGCCGTTTGGGGGTGAGCACCTCACCCATGCCGGGTGCCTGGCCCATTTGTTGCTGCAGCTGAAGCTGCTGGGATTGCTGCTGCAGCTGACCGGGAACGTTGAGCTGGTTAGGAACACCGCCAGGAGCAGTTATCTCGGCGCCGGGTTGACCACCGGGCCTGCCGGGCGATTGGCCGGTCCCGTTGGGGCCCTGGGGCCCGCAGACGGTGAGGCCCCCTGGGGGGCCTTGCGGGGGGGGCTGGCGGGGCAGGAGGCCCCCGGCCTCCATACAGCCCCCTAGATCCACCCCAGGATACGCCAGCGCTCAGTGAGAACCGCTGCCGCTGCGACTGGTTGCAGCAGCCTCTTCCGCTGCTGCTGGTGCTCCTGCTGGGCCCGGAGCCGGCGGGTCCGCGGGCCCTAGCATCGTCCCCGGGGGGCCCGCGAGTCGCGCCCTCCAGCCGGTCTCCACGACCTCCTCGCCTCCTCTACGTGCCGCGACCCTGGGACCTAGGGACGGTCCCCAGGCATCGAGGTCGCAGCATCCTCCCCCTGATCCCTCGCCCTTATCTCGCCTCGCCGTGTTTCCCGCCTCCAGTTTCTCGCCCGGATAATCGATCCCTCGTAGACGATCCAGGCTGCATCCTCGAGGGCGTTCCTTAACCGGAGGACGAAGGGCCCTAGGTCGATCGACCCCTCGAAATGTCCACCGTCGCTGGTCGATGCGTTCCCGGGGTTCCAACGAAGAAGATCCTCTTCCACCAGTCTTCCTCCTCCTATTTCTCTTCCCCTCGAGACGACGCCGACCCTCCGGGTCACGTGGCCCGGTGAGACGTCAAACGCACGTGGTCGCTCCCTACCGGGAGAGGGTTCCACTTTCTAGCCGGATCGCCGGGTGGTGTCACCTGAAACGACGAGACGTCGAGTTAGAACTCATCCGAGGACTCGGTTAGAGAGAGGCCCAGGTCGGAGAGGCTCTCGGTAAACCGGCAACGAGCGAATCGCCGCGCGCGAGCACTGAGAGCCGAGCGATAAGACGCTCCTCGTCTCTCGTCCCGAGGGAGGGAGAGAGAGAGAGGGACGCCGGGGAGGGAGGCAAGTCGCGGGTCTAGAGTCCCGGCACTCAATGGCCGGTCGCCGCGAGGGGCGACCGGGTCATTCGATTAATTAGTTAATGCGTTAAACGGATTGTTAGACGGGTAAAAATCAGGATTGCCGGCGGATCGAGACTCCAGACTGCGAGATATGCCCTACGCGCTCGATCATCGACCCTCAACCTGAAAGAAAACGGCCATTCGACCGAATGCCCTATGAGAGGGTTATAAATATGAAATAGAAAAATTATAGTAAAAAAAAAATCCAGGGGGCCTTAAAACGTAATGAAATAAATTAAGATTTAAATTCCACGTCGAGCGGAAGACGAGCGAGGGAACGTTCAGCTTGTTTACGGATTCTGGAATTTTCGGAGAATTTATGAGTTTATGTTAGTCGTTCAAGACCCAAAACATTCTCGATGCCCCGCGCTTGGGCCTTGTCTTCGAGTGGCAAGTTTGTTTACCTTGGGGGAATATGCGACGCACGTTCGGAGGACGTTAGGATAAGACGAGGTCGGGAACTTTCCTCGGGGAATAGTCGGGGAGATGAAAATTGCGATTCCAGCGGAAGTGGCGTCGGCAAAGAGGTTGACCCGCCGATCGGTCGCGTATCGGCACGCTCGAGTCCCGCTGGACGCCGGACAACAGGTAGTCGAGGCGGGGGCAGCCGCCGCGCGAGCGAGAGAGAGAGCGCGAGGGGAGGGGCCGCGCGAACGAGAGAGACGGCGCGACTGGAGGGGCGGTCGCGCGGCGAGAAAGGGAGAGGGCGCATACGCGGCGCGCGAGAGCGAGAGAGAGAGAGGGCCGCCGCTCACTTCGTGACCGCTACCCGCACGGCTTGACGACGTCGCGGGGCACGGGGCTCCTCCTAGGAGGTTATGTCGATGTTTTACGATTACACCCGGGCACCTACGTACCTTAAATATATCCGTAGACCAGCGAATCCGCCGATGGACTCTCCAAGGATGTCTCGGGGTCGGCGCGTTTCACTTTCGCTTGCGTCCTCTCACAGTTTTGAGGTTAGGCCCGGTCGGCCGGCCCTCCGGCGCGGTCGCGGCGACGCGGCGGGCCGCTGCTCCTCGTGGGCCGACGCGCCGTCGCGTGTCATCCCGACCGTCGGTATTTCGGAGTCTTTCAAACAATTACATAACCTCACTCCGCGGACTGTCACACCGAGCGAGCGCGACTCGGGGACGCGCGGACGCGGGGCCACGCTCTCTCGGCCCCGGAGCTCGACGCGGCGGGCACTCACGGACACGACGGCGCGCGATCACCCCGGCGACGGTTACGCGCGCTAACGACTCTTTCGATTGGCCCTCGTGAACGCGCGGTACCATTAACGGAACTGCGCGTGGGTACCGGGGCACACATCGTTCAAACGGCAGGGGACTATTGTCGCGAGCGACGCGACCTCCACCGACTCTGCCCGAAACTAACCGACTGGACTGCTGCCGGGGGACGACGCGCGCACGCGGCGCCGCCGTCGCCATCTTGGAGCCGTATCTCGCACTGCTTCTTAACTTTGGTCGATATTGTCGCCTACTTCGATATCAATTGATATCCACTGATGTCGATATTCAACGATATTGACGGCGTTACACGTGGTCCGACTAAATTCAACGTTCCCTTATAATTATATACGTTTGATAACGGCTCTTTATGTGGAATTAATTTAATGAAATTTCGTAAGCTGTTGCAGATTTGCGATTTTTTTCGCCTATTTCTGGATCATGTAGATCGAGCTAAGGTTATGTCGTGTACTCTCAATTTTAAATACTTGTGGTAATGGTCCACGTCGATAGGGAATTTGTATACTATTTTAAAAGATAAAGTGTACTTTAGCTTGCCAGTTGTTCTTTAAAGTAGTCTACAACTGTATTTTGTCATGTGAAGAAGCAGTTGTGGACCATTTGCTAGGGTGAAAAGTTACAAAGTATGGCTTCGAGCGTTCAGAAAAGTAAGAGCAAGATCCCTTATATACCAGGGACTAAGCCTTCGATTCGAAATGCTCAGCTTCTCGTGTCAACCGGTGTTCCTTCTCTGGATCACGTTATCGGTATGTATAATAATTAATTTTATTTGATGGGTGGCACTATACCTTTTTATTTTCAAATAGGAGGAGGACTACCGATTGGATCTATTATGTTAATTGGTAAGAAAAGAAAGAGGGGTTTAAACTGATTAAGAAATTGAATTAAGGATTAATATTTCTTGTTTCTTAGAGGAAGATCTATATGACGTGTATGCCAAAGTCATGTTGAGGTATTTTATGGCAGAAGGCATTATATCGTCGCATCCGTTATTAATTGCGTCGAGAGAAATTAAGCCCTCTCAACTGCTCGCCGAGATGCCAGCTGTTATAACGGAAACATCTATGATGCCTAATACCCAGGATGAGGAGATGAAGATTGCATGGAGATATCAGAATATGAAGGTAGTCGACCCTTCTCCATGTGGCGGTCAGCCATTTGGTCATTACTACGATCTAACGCAACCAATGGATAAGGAACTTGTAAATAAAGCTAGTATTACTCAATGGGATGGAAGTTGTATAAAATGGAAAGCAGACTGGTTTAAGAATGAGGAATACGTGGATCTCCTTAAAACTATCCAAGAAACCTTGAAAACTGGACAGTTTCGATTGTCCGACAACCCAGAAAAGAGATCGGTCCTCAGGATAGTAATACATTCTCTCGGGTCCAGATTATGGCTCTCCGATACAGAACCTGATACCCATGCCGACCTTCTGAGGTTTCTATACTGCTTTCGAGCTCTACTGCGAAACTCTTACGCAGTAGCGATGTTTACCTTCCCAGTGGAGAATTTTGACAATTCGGTAAGCTGTGGAATTATTTACAACTATTGCATTTATTCTAACGAGTAATTTTTAGGATGCTATCGTAGAGCGGATAGAACACTTGGCCGACACTGCGATAAGATTGGAGTCGTTCGCTGGTTCTCCTAAAGAAACCAACCCAATCTACAAAGACTACCATGGGTTGGTGCATATTAAGAAAATTTCAATCTTCAACACCTTGGCACCGCACTGTCCAGAATCTGTGGACCTGGCATTTAAACTGCGAAGAAAGAAATTCCTTATCGAGGTAATATTAAACCTGCCCACTAATCACTGCGAAACCCTAACGATGTTCCTCTATCTATAACTTTCTCTTCAGATTCTACATCTACCACCAGAGTTGGAGGATACGACACAAAGAGAGCAGGATGATCTATACTCCGTCCCAAGTTGCAGCGGAGGCACCAAGAAAAATTTGTTAGACTTTTAAAACGCGACATTTTGTAAAATGCAGGTCCAAAAATAGACCTCGGTCTAATATATTCTTGAATTTTGTTACGTTCAGTCTCGTTTAATCGAAGCCATATTCAATAATCCTACGGAAGAGTATATTAATCTTCTCGAGAATCCAGAAATTCGGAGACTGCCCCGATTAAATGTACGCCACGTCGCATTTAAATGAAACGGAAGTGCGCGACGTTCCGGAGTGAATGGCGCAGACAAGAGGAGATAGGCTTCGTGAACACTTACAATAATACCAATGAAATACCACCGAGCCGCCCACCAAGTACATGGCAACGAGCGGTGTACTTTTACAAACTCACGGAAGAGAGGAGAGCGTTCCGAACGATTAGGTCGATGAGTCGCAATCGGCTCCCAATGAAATGAACTCCATCGACCCATCAATTTGCTCGTCGATTACCCCCAATGGCGTGGTAAAAATAATTCCGAAAAAAATAGGGGGGAATTATTCAAAGGTATCGCTATTAATTGTACATAGGTGGATTAAATCCAGATCAGGTGTCTTCACGGGATTATCCAAATACCATGGGTCGTTCCCACTCCACACTGTTCACCTGCACATATGGGGGCCAGTAAAAAACCAGAGTTCGGCGCGGTGCGACGCCCTTTTCCCTCGCTTCCCTACTTCCTTCCGGTTCCAAGAGGTGCGTCACGCACGAGGGAGTCCGCAACGTGAATACACGCCCTGGTACCGATATTCTTACGGCCCTGGGCAGCTTGGAAAACCACGAAGGGGCCCCCCAGTGCCTCGGCGAACGCCATAGCGAGCGCAGCTCTGTCCGGTCCTCGACTCGGCCGAAAATCGACTAAACTTCCTCGCAACTTTGATATCACCGGTTCGAGAACCTCATCCCATTACAAACATATTGCATTATCAATTGTCCCTCGCGAGGAAACTTGAAAATTAAAAATCCCGCGCGCGTACTTATGAAATTATCCTTATAAGTAATACTTTAGAGCCAGTACTTTAAAGACTAATGTTCCTTAATCGAGTATCTTTAAAACTATGCTTTTAACTAGTATTTTCAAAATCATGAGGGAAACGCTCAAGTCGAGTGCAACCCCCTGAAGCGCCGACTTGTATTTTGAGCTCAATCGCACTTGGTGCATTGTAATGGGATTTGGATATGAAGAAATGAGTAGATGTATGGTACCGACTTCCAAGCGAAGGGAGGAAGAATAAAAGTGCGTCGGAACGGTCGAAGGAAGGCAGTGGTGAAGAAGAAGTGACCATGAAGGCCGCCAGGTTGGGCCTGCCGAGAGTCTTCGTGTGCTGCTCGAACGTCATCTTCTTGGTAAGTAATGGTGTTAGAAAATAGGGAATAAAGAAAGAGGCAAAGTGAAATACCATCACCGAGGGTTTCGTCGGCTTCCAGGCGTCCGGATTCACCCTGATGTCTCTGGGGGCTCTGCTGCTGTCCGACAACGAGAGGGTCCTTTTATCCAGACTCCTTGGTCCAGGAGACGTGCATCCCGACCAGCCGCTCTTTTACTACGTCGCCTTCGCCGTCGTTGGGGTAGGCTTCGTCATCGCCGTAACAGGTCTCCTCGGATGCTGGGCCTCGTGTCTCTTCAATTGCTGCATCACCGCCTCGGTAAGGGCCATCCTCCAGACATCTCAATTGGCATCTGCACTAACGAGCCCACCCATGATTAATTACGGCTTGTCCCGCAAGAAACGTGCAAATGGCCCGCCCTGGCCCTCGCTTTCGTCCCACCGAAGCGTTTCCACGCTAAGAAAGGCGAGCAATCTTTACAATTGTCGGAGAAAATTACATACGAGCTGCAAACCAAACCAAATCGAGTCCATCTCGAGCCTGGTCACGCGTCGTTGCCCGGAAACGGATTCGCGCCCATCCGAACGTGAACACGCAACGCAGGAAGAACGGCTCTCCCGGAATTACATTTTTTACCATGCCTTTTTCTTAATAAAATAGAGACGCATCTATGTGCACGTTAGAATTGAACTCAGGACCACGCAACGCAGGAAGAACGTAGCAGGCTCTCCCGGAATTACATTTTTTACCATGCCTTTTTCTTAGTAAAATAGAGACGCATCTATGTGCACGTTAGAATTGAACTCAGGAGGAGTGGAGTAATTATCGACCTGGGCATTACCGTCCCTGGCACATGTCGAAACCAGCGATTATGGGGGAGTACCTCGCGTGTGTCGGTGTTACACCTGCGATGACGTAGACCGTTTAGACCTGCCCCCAGGTTTCTGTCTTTCCCAGTAGCGGTGCTCCCCCGTTTCATATTCATGGGGCCTGCTTTTGCGGTGCCAGCTCGCTGGGGATAATGCATTTTTTCTTTTTTTTCCTTCCCTTCCAGTATCTCGTTACTTTGGTGCTCCTGCTCCTCGGTGAATGCACCGTGTGTGTCCTGGCGGTGTTCTGGCCGAATCTGTTGGGGGTGGACGTGAGACCGGCTCGATTAGTTAGGGCTCTTCAGAGAAGCTACGCGGTGCCTGGTCGAGAACAGTTCACGGCGGCTTTGGATTTGGCGCAGACAATGGTTGGTATACCTAATCGCTGATATGGCTGATTCCTATAAGGATGGTCCTTGCAGTTCGCTTGCTGCGGAATCAACGGGAGCAACAACTATGGGACGTCCTGGTGGCGTCTTCAGGAAGTGGGCCGGAGGGAACTCGTCGTTCCCCTAAGTTGCTGCCTGTTGAATAATACCTATGAGGTGGAGTCTTTCTTGAACCCCCAGCCGATGAACCTCACCCTCTGCCAGGCTCTGAACCCCGCAGAACACCAACAAGCTCGGCACACGACGGTAATCCAGCTCACCTGTGGAATAAAAAATTATTACTATAATAATAATAACAAATTAATACTATAATAAAAAATTAATACAGTTCGCGGTGTCGCTTAATATTTATTTAGAGAATTAAAAGATGAAGGCCAGGCAGGTTGCAAAAGAGGTTGGCGAGGGAGTCAATCCTCAGCGGATAAGCTGCCCGTATTTTGCGTAATTTCATTCTCGTTACCTTCATCGGTACCGTTGACGTACCTAGAGTGCCGAACGAAATGTTTAATTTTTAGTTTCCAGGGGTTCACGACCCGGAAGAAGGAATTTTTTACGTTAGAGAACAGGGCTAGCCGTGGCCTCGGCGATCAGATTAGGCTTGATGAATTATTAATTAATCGGGCACACATCGCCGACCATGAGCATGGCCAGCGGAGCGGATGGTACATCTGCACAATGGAGTACACCTGTACGGTACTTTAAATTTTTTTCATCCTCTTCAGGGCTGCATCGAGATGATCGAGAAATGGACGCAGGACCAGGCGATGATATTTCTGGGGGTGACGTTGGGGGTCATCCTGGTGGAAATTGGAGCCCTGCTGAGCATCGTCCTGGTGTGCACGAAGGCGACCTCGAAGAAGAAGTCGCAACCGTCGACCTTCACCTCGACGCAGACTCTGAGTCCCTTCGGCGAGAGCGAGCAAGATTTCGGTATAAAAATTCAGACGAATAGTAAAATAGAAAGGAAGAACAAATAAAAATATACGAATCTGGATATTAATACTTATCTCTTCAGGGTTAGGAATCGAGAACAGGATGCACATGGCGGGGACGACGTTCGGGGCGAAGTCATGAAGGTGGTTGGAGGGCAGCAAGGGAACGGTGACGCTGATGACGATAGAGACGATCAGGAAGGGAGCCGAGTCGACGAAGAGCGAGATCAAGAAGGACACCTGGAAGAGCCGGAGCGTGATAGAGGATTGGCGTAACCCTTTGAGCACCCTGGATAATGCGATCAGGAGCGACCAGCTCTACGAGGAGAGGGCGATAGACGTGGAGGTTTCCCAGGAAGAGACGAAAGAAAGAGACCTTGAACAGCCAAATCCAGGGGCAGCAGGGAGTCCCGAAGCTGCAGAGAAGCCGAAACCAAGGATCGAGACCGAGAGAGAGGTGGTGCAGCCGAAGAGGCCCCAGGAGAGTGGCACAGTGCGCGTCATCCCCATAAAGGACTACAGGGCCTCCATAGCTCAGACCTTCGGGACCCTGAAAAGATCGCCAGCTCCTCATCAGCAATTCGAGTCTCTGGTCTCGGAGCCTGAGAAGAACAGAGGGGAGAATCTCAACGTCCCCCGGGAGCATCAGGTCTGCAGGGGATGCAGAAGTTCCTCGTGGGACCATCCGGATGGTGTGGATGCGCACAGAAGAGTCTACCTAGGCGGCAAGGAGATAGTCCTTACCGGTCGCACTCGCATCCTGGGGAACTCTAGCTCGACCTCGAGGAAATGCCAGGAGAGGGACCAAAGCAGAGAGCGTCAAACTGGAAGAAGCTCTTCGGGAACCACCTCGAGAAGGGACGCTCACGAGGCCAGGGACCAGGGGAAGTCTGCGGATCAAGGTCGGATTAGTCAGAGCCGCGTTGGTGAGAAAATTGTAGCCTACGAAGAGGCCAGCCGTGGCCAAAGGAAAAATCTAGAGACCAGGACCAGGACCATCGGAGTCCCCTTGGTGGGCATGCACAACGCTTGCGGGCTTCCGGTCGTCGCTTCATGGACGCGCGACCAGATCGTGGGTCCCATCAGGGTGTCCAGCAAGATCGTGGGGACTCTGGGACCGGTTGTGGCCGAAAGAAGGGAACCTCCTCGAAGCTCTAGGACCAGGACACATCAGAAACGCAGAGCACCGCAGCCGGAAGGGGTGTCCTCGCCTCCTGGGGAACGGAACATAGAGATCAATGGGGTAAAAGATTTGAAAAAAGGCCAGATAGTGGTGCTGGGGAAAAATGCAGTTCACCGGAGGCCGTCCAGGGGGAAAAGTAGGAAGCCTTCCTTCAAGACCAGGAACGCTACGTCGAGGTCGAAGCGCTCTTCAGGGGGCAGTCAGGCGAGGAAGAAGAGGAGATCCGATGGCACTTTTAGGAGGCTGTCCTTGAGGAGGGGGAGTGCCAAGAGGACCACCTTGTATGCCAGAGATGACGGGGACGAGGCTGTCAAGGCTCTCGCCAGTCTTTGTCTGAATCCTCTGGCTCGTGCAAAAGGTGACGCCACTATGATTTGGTGACCAGGAACATGGAGGACGTTTTTGTAGACTCGAACTCTTGCCGCCCTCGTTGGCAGAAATCTGAAGGAATTTCAAACGAATGTTTCAGAGAAACTAAAGACGCCTCGTTATTTAAACGTCGAGGCTCTTATCGCGTAGGTGTACGGGAACTTTACCTCGTGTAAAACGTTCGGATAAATAATAAATAAGTTAATAAACTGAGCGTTTGCTACGTCCCACCTTTTCATCGCCTGGTCTCTTTGTAACGACTTTTCGTTCGGTTCTACTTTACCTACGATGGGTCTCGAAGTTATTCTCGTCGATAAGAATGTGCTGCTATTCGCTGCGCTCTATTTTACCTACTATAGAGTTAAAAGGTAGCGTTAAATTTAAGAAAGCTACCTCGGCGGCAACGGTGCTATGTAGTTCGTCGTGCCGCCGCAAGATGGCAACACAAGTCAACTTCGCCCGCGCATACGTCGAGTTTCGAAATTATTTCACCGGGAGATAATTCCTTACAGCCTGCGTCATTTATTGCGAAACTGCGGGAAAATTCAAGGAACGATTGGATAAGAATAGAAATAAAGTAATAGGTAGTACGGTGAAACTCATCACAGAGAATCGAGTCGCCTTCGATCGAGAGTCCAACTACTGTGGAAAAACTTAACGCCGTCGCTCGTCCTTTTCTCAAATTTAAGGAACAATGAAATTCCGGGTACCTTTCGCCTTGGATCTCGGATTACTAAGAGAAACTACTAGAAACTCGGTAACGGGAAGTCAGGAGTGACCAGATGCTCAGAAAATGCGAATCGAATCGCGTAGGTGGACCACCGAGGGCATTTTCCAAGATGGCCGCCGCGTCCCTCGCAACCGGCGCCGCGGGAGTCACCTCTTTTTCCCGCAAGAACGGAAACGATAAATCGTCCAGGGACTTTCCGACGTGTAGGAAGTTGGGATGGACCGCAGGAGAAGAAAAAACTAAGGGAAACCGTCCGAGAGTCTCTCGAAATGCGAAAAAAAAATGGCCGGCTTCTACCGCCCACGAGAACGGTAAGAGGAAACAGATATTCATCGCCAACATCTTGCGTCTTTATTATTAGGCTCCCAGTTTGCCGTGGAAACGTGTCCAGGGAATTTTTCGAAGTCCTCGAATGGAGATATCTCTGGCCACCGGTTGCTCTTTTCAGGCTGGACACTTTATAGTGATATATCGTCCGGTCTTCGGGCCAGCGAAAGAAGTTCTTTGTCGAGCTCGTGACGACCAGGTTAGTCGGACTTAGTTACGCGTTAAGATAATTCGTTCCAAGGAGACACCAGTGTCGCCCCCGTAAAGGAGTGCAACCGTGAACGTCGGCAACCCTTTTTGATCCATGCCGACGAATGAAGATGCGTCCCCTGATGCTCGGAGTCCTGGTAAGGATACCTTGAAGATTCAAAGTTTAGCATGGATCCTTCTAAATAATTCCGAGCGATAATAACGGAACACATTTTCAGCGGTAAATTCAAACGCGAGGAAGCGAAGAAGAGGAGCAAAAGTCTGGCCAACTCTGGAAACCCATCAGGTGCGATGGTCTCGTCCCTAAGGACCATTAGTCAGAGGACATCGGCGATAATTATCCCCTTTCGGGAAAACGGGCGGAAAAATCGGCGTCTCTTCGGAGCCCTTTCCCATTTTCGAGTGGCTCGCGCTCCCTCTCGCCAGGGACTCCCGGATTGTCGGCATTGTAAGTCATCCCCGGGATTGTCGAGGAGCAAAAGGATCGCGCCCGGCGGGATGGATCGTGAGGTGGATGCAAACGAGGAAGGACACGTCGCAACGGGACCACCGCGACTCGGGCCTCGTGAAACGCATCCCCAATGAGGGGAGGAACATCCTGCAGGATCGATGGGGTCCAGGACTGGACTCCTGGATGGACGAGTGACATTGTGCCGGAGAAAGTGGCCAGGATGACCGCAAGTCGAGACAAATGTCCTGGAGGAGTCGAAGCTGCACTTTCGAGCCCATAAATCCTGAAGAGCGCCACGTGCTCCGGAAGATCCTTGCGGGAGGTTTTCGCGGGGTCCTTGAAAATCGATCCTGGCGACGTGTCCCGTCCAAGAGACTTTTAATTAATCGTTCGTGCTAGGATATTCGTAATTAGTAATATATGCGTGAATTATTTGTAGGGGAACGTTTGACCTCCTTGATGGATTTCACTGTAAATTTGGGAGGAAGTGGCGGTCCGATCGAGAGGTCCTGCGAGGTCCTTCGAGCGGCCGGAATTCCTCGCAGATGGCGCTCTTACGAGACGGAACACATAAATTTCCCAACGCGAGCTGCGCCCCATTGTGCCCAAGAGACGCTCCTCCATGCTTTTCCATGCTTCGCTATGCTTTTCCGTTTTCCGCCGAGCAGGCCCTCGGCCGAGCCCTTTGAAAGCCGATCCGAGAAATCTCCAGGGCCTCTGAATAATATTCCCTCACGGTCGGATTCCCTTCCGATCGGAGTGCAAAAGAGGACTTCGACGTATTTCGAGACCTACTTACCCCGGAAAAAAAAGAGTTCATAAAACGAAAAAAATATTCCTTCACACCAGTACCAAAAAGGTCATATATTAATTCAAAAAGGACTCGACTCGAATAAAATCCAATAAGTCATACGGGAACTTCCTCCGGAATTACAATTTATCTCAGCTAAATAATAAATCCTCGATTTAAAAATATATTCCCTTGGTGGTATTTCAGAAAGAATAATTCTTTGGTTGTATGAATTCTCTTTTCTCAGGGTACAGACCCCGTGTCCTAGTTTTTAGAGTGAATATCGAGCGTGGATATCAATGAGCACGATTAATATAATTAATGGATAGAATGAATGGAGGATCCGAGATTATCCAAGATCGTCCTCAAGGGAGGAAAAAAAAGGATCCTGGAAAAGAGCTCGTGTCTGGTTCACGGTGTTTTTGGAAGCGCCGTCAAGAACGAGGCGAGGCCTGTAATTTTCCCCAATTTGGGGAATCTATCGGTAACCGAAGGGTGGAAGGGCAGGGAATAATCGGGCGCAGTTATCGAGTTCTCGAGTTCTCGAAAGAGTTCCACTCCGGCCGCGCGCCGCATGCCTTATGGCGGGCTTATTAAAACTCAAAACCGGGGAAAGGGGAAAGAAAAAAAAAAAAGAGGAAACGAAACGGTCGGCGGTTTCATTCGCGGCCTTCCACGAGGGTTCCTCGTGTTCTCCACGAGCTACCGTGCCACCCTGCAATTATTATCAGTCGGCGTTCACGTTCCTAACAGGCTCGTTTATTAGGCTCTCTTTCGTAACTCGATGCCTCTCTTATTTTCTCTCCTCGCCTCGTCCTCAAGGATAGCATAAAAAAAATCCAGACAATCAGGGAGGTCCCACCGAATTTCCCGGAATATTTTCCGGAGCCCTTCCCGACGTCCACGCTGCAGAAAGAAATGAAACAAGATGGGTTAAAAAATAGGAAGCAAGGGAAAATCATCTCTGGGAACGAAGATAAAAATTTCTGCGAGGGCGGGAGTGACCGAGAACCCCATGGTCCCCGTGGAAAATCGCTTCGGCCGATCCCTGGGGTGAAGAGAAAAAAAAAAGGAATACCTGGAGGTACCTCTCCACTTTTTACAGTTTGACAC